TACTACTATGATATATATATATATATATATATATATATATATATATATATATATATATTCGATAGATTGGAAGGGTTCAGAGGCAATAATGAAAGGAAATGCATTGGAGAAGTAGTTGCTTGACTTCGATTCTTCGGTGGAGGTAGGTTATGGTTTATGCTATTTGATAGTAAACTCTTAATAGTGATTGATATGCCTTGAATGATATTGTGAAGTTCTCAATGTACTTGACTGTGTGATTGTGTTATTTGGTTGTGTGGTTTATGATTGGTCTGAAACCCTGAGACCGTAGAATTTATATTCGCTCATCCTACCTATCAAAGTGATGCCCTGAATAAAGAAGGCTTGATGAAAATAATATAACAATGAATTGAAAGCGGTGATAATAAAGGATAAATTAATAGTATAATTGGATCGGAGTGTCACGTTCCGACACGGTATTCTTGGATCGGAGTGTCACGTTTCGACACAGTATTTTTGGATCAGAGTGTCACGTTCCGACACGGTATTCTTGGATCAGAGTGTCACGTTCCGACACAGTATTTTTGGATCAGAGTGTCACGTTTCGACATGGTATTCTTGGATCAGAGTGTCACGTTCCGACACGGTATTCTTGGATCGGAGTGTCACGTTCCGACACGGTATTTTTGGATCGGAGTGTCACGTTCCGACACGATAATATTAAAGGAAAAATATCTTGAATTAACGGAAGATATTCAATCTCAAAGAACTCAACTCCCAAAATGGTTTGGTTTGGAGGCATGAGTCCTCATGTGTGATCTTGATACCGTTGACTTAATACGTGCTTACTCTATTGTTATTGACACTTGTTCATGTTGTTTGTTACTTATCACATGTTAAATGCTATAGTTGAGTTCATACTATTATTCTTTGTATATTAGTTACTATTTTGGGTTGACCGATGATACTTACTCAGTACATGTTACCTCGTACTGAGTCCTACTTGTTTTCTTCTTTGGTTTCCTTTTATGAAATGCAGCGAGTGTACCTATGACTTCTGATTTCCCTCAGCTCTAGCCAGCCTCCCGCATATCAAGTTATAGGTGAGCTATCCATTCAAGCTCATGTTGGATTCACTCGGTCACGACATGATGTCCTATACTTTCGGACACATACCATTTTATTCTTTATTTTAGTGTATTCGATATTCTTAGACTTAGTATTGGAGATTAGATGTCCTTGATGTGATGACTATCAGATTTTGGGATGATAAGTATTAAACTTTAGAAACTTATTTAAATTGGTTGCTTAGTATCTTTTGGAGCTTCCGCATTATTTATATTATTTATAGTTGAACTATTGGTATATGTTGGGGTTTAGATGTGTTGGTTCGCCCACCTAAGGAGGTAAGTGTGGGTGTCATTCACGACCCGTTTTGGGTCGTGACAGTAAATAAATTAAACTATACCCTTATTAACTAATTTCTTATGGATGTTTTTCATCTCACATAATTTTTTCTTTTTCTAAAACCTCTTAACGGGTGTTAATGAGTCTGTATGAATCAGATCTATAACAGAGTCTCAATATCATTATGACTATTAAAATAATAAGTTTTCTTTTCATAAACAAATTCTCTTCTTCCTTGCTTCTCTCCTGGACAAGCTTCAAGTTTCTTCCTCTTCTTTTCCAATCAAGTATCATTTTTTTTAAAAAAATGGCCAGAAGTCCCTCTAACCTATTGTCGGATTCTCAACTACACAGTTTTACTTTACGTGGATCCCATCACCCCCTTGAACTGTTTAAAAATGAATTATTACCTCCTTAATTGCCTAGAGTGAGTGTATTTCATTCTCCTTGAGAGAGTGAGCAACAAAAATAAATATTTCTGAAATTTATTTTTAATTACATAAACATATATATTTTTAATTTATTTTCCTTCTTCCCTAAAACAATATGGTCCTCCACCATTCACCAACCTTAAGCAGCCATTGTCAGCCATCGTCCCAATTGGATTGATCATTATTAATTTCAAACTCTTATGTAAAATACTTGCAACATCAATTAAGTCCACTATAAATAAAATGTCAACCATCTTCAATCACTCCAAAAGACTTCAAATAGGATTTGAGAACAATCAATTTGGATTCACATCAAATGTAATTGAACCCTCAAAAATTTAGTATTGATTTCAAATATCTTGATTATAAAAAAAGAATCAACACAACATATATTTGCAAGATGTTGCACTGAGCTATGAATGTGGCTAAATCATTCCAAGTCTAAATAAAGAAAATTTATTATCTTGAATATTTCTTTTTCAAAGCTTCATTCTTAAGAAGACATGGTAAAGAACTTTTGAATAGGTGAAGAAGGTAATGGTAAGGGGGGGGGATTATAAAGGGGGGTGGGGTGGAGGTAGTGGGTAGAAGAGGGATGGGGAAAATACCCGAATGCACTCACAAATGTTTTCCCCATATCAATATTTTCAAAATATTAGGGCTAAAAAAATGGTTAAAGAAGAAAGGAAGAAGATGAAGGAGAAAAAAATAGAAAAAAATAATTAACTAGTTAAATACAAGTGTCAAGTGTGTATGTTTCACTACAAGACACATTTGTGGTTATGACGTTTTAACGAGTTATATACTCTACTTTTAAAATGTTCATTGTCAAATCCCTTAATTATTAGGTAAAAGCTCAGTTGTTTTTAAATGACCAGTCATACTAATGTTAACCTTTTCCTTAACCCCTTTTTCTCCAGCACGTTTTAATAAGCACCAAGGGGATACTAGGGCGTCATCCCTAGTGTCAGTTATGCAGGGAACTAGTGTCCGTTATAACATCTGCATTATATATGTATCTACTTCACATCCAGTCAAATCCGACAATAGGTTTGTGGGTGGGTGGGGGGATTTTCTCTTTTTTTTCTTCTTCTTTTGAATAATTAAGTTTTCATAATCTTTTACAAGTATTTATCTGTAATTTCCAATACATAAAATATTCTTGGGTTAATTGATATTTAAGAAGAACTCTTCTTGTCACAATTCTTATGTTATCAAAACTTCTTTGGAAGAAGTTATCATTGTTTCTTGAGAAAAAATTATTTGAGAAACCAAATAAATCATCTTTTTTCTGAAGTGGGTTAATAATCTTATTCTTGAAACAATTGTTTGGAAAAAGTATTCTTGGCTTTTATGATAGTGTTTAATTTTTAATTTAAGAAAATATTATGCACATTCAAATATTTAAAACAAATAATCTTAATGATTTAGTGTTCAAACCTAGAAAATACATCTTAATATTCAGACAAGTTTTTAGATTCTAACATCTTAATATTACTATTAATCATAATATGCAGATGCACATTCAGATTCAAGCATTTTAATCTTAATGAATATAAATGAGACCTTAGAGTCACTCCATAGTCACTTCTTTACTGGAGTCACAAGCATTCTTTTATTCTTATATAGACATTTGACTTGCATTGAATCTTTTTTGTTCTATTTTCAGGTATGAAGATGTATTATTACGCTGTGAATAGATGACTAATGGATATTGTGTCTTTTATTGAAGATGTTATTAGTTGTGTTGCTGATTTCTGAGATGTCAGAAATATTAGGTAGGCCAAAAAACATACAAAATATGCAGGATTGTCTATAGATTTTTTCAACACTTTGTCAAGACCCGAGTCTACACCCTGGACGCGGCCTGCACTCAAGAACCATTGCTGGTCCCAAAGCGAACCTCATCCCGGCTGTATAAATATATGACCATTGTACAGTGATAAAGGCATTCAAAAATAAGAGATGGAAATTTTATACATTGTCAGTATTGTTTTCATCATAGGCACTATTAACCTTTATTTTTCCTTTTCGATTTTGGAATCCAATTTCCTAATTACTTGCAGACTAAACTAATGATTTTGCAAAGATAATCGCGACAGGTTTACAAACTACATCATAATTTCCTTACAATAAACAAGAAAAGTAAGGTTAATTAGAGCTGAAACAAATCAATTTCCCACATAAATACTTGTATATATTACTGCTTAATGTACCTGAATTACAACTGAGAATTCGAATAACAAGTTAACAGAAAACAACGATGTAAATTACGAATAGCCAGAAATGGATGAACACTTCTACTTTTACTCAGTTGGTGGCAACTTGAATCGACACATATGACAAGTTGGTGTCTTCAAAAACCAGGTCTCAATGCATCCAGAATGGAAACTATGGTTGCAAGTAGGGCTGGCAAGGGGACGGGGAAGGGGACTGGGGGACGGGACGAAGGGGGACGGGACGGGACGGGGGACGGGGAGGGGGGATTTCATCCGGGACCGAGATTGGGGGGACGAAAATAGGTCCCATCCCGTCCCACTATATATATGGGATGGGATGGGATTTGGGGGGACGGGACGGGATGGCATGGGACGGGGGATTCTTTTTTTTTTAATATTTATATTTTTTTTTATTGAAATGGTACGTCTTAAGCTAATAAATTTTAAATTTAATTTTTGATTTTCAAATATCAAAATAAATTTTCTAATTTAAAGTTTTAATTTTCAAATTTTAAGATTCATTTTTCAAATTTCAAGTTTCAACTTTAAAGTTTTAAATTTCAAATTTGAGTAGTTTAAATTTGTAATTTTTTAATGTTTCAAAGTAATGTAAATTGTAAACTTTAAATTAAGTATTTTAAAATTAGTTTAGTACTTTAGTATATATGTTTAATTGTATATATTAAAATTAAAATTCAAAACAATAATTGTATAAAAAAATTTATTCAATAGAACTTATAAGTTACAACTTACAATTAACAAATATTAGTGGAGTAACTAATCTACGCAGCCACCTTCTAGGAAGGGTTCTGTTTCAATTAGTTCTCGAATGTAATCTAATAATATCTGTTTTCTCCTTTAAAATTTAATTCTAATTGTCGCATCATATCGATGGTGATATCCTCCGGTGTTGGCAAACTTGTTAGAAATTCCTGTGCCTCTAATTCATCATCACTGCATTCAATACAAATTTTGATCCAAGTTGCTTGTTTTTTACTTAACTTTGGAAAATTGTTATTCCTCCTTTCGGCATTGCACCAGTCTCTAAATAAAACTGTTGTTTCCAAACTGTATTCCGCCAATGAATGTCTATGATCACCGATTTGAAACCTTGCCGCACTGAAAGCAGCTTCCGATGTGACTGATGAAGCTTGAATAGCTAGAATATCACGAACCATTTTGCTCAAAGTTGAAAATGCATCGCTTCGTCTACTCCACCATCCTAATAAATCTTCATTGCCATATTTGATTTCCAATTTTTCTAAAGATTGATTAAGATATTCTTCAAAATCATCATGGTTAGTAGAATTAAGACCAAGAAAACCTCACATATAACATGAAATTGGAACTGACAAATCAATCTCAACATTAGAAGTTTGACCAACTTCTCCTTCAAAATTTTCACTAGTTCTATATTTTTCATACAAAACTTTTGCTTCTATTTTTATGCTAGACTTACAAGTTTCACAATCTGGAGTTTCTTCCGGTAAAATTTCTTAAGTTTCATAAAAAGTGTCGACAAGGCCTTTCACACCTTGTAATTTATAAGCAGGATGAAGTAAAGTAGCCGTTAAAAAAACTTGAGGAATAGGAAAAAAATATTTTTTAAAATTTTCAATCATACCTTCAATTGCAACTCTAAAGTGATCTATTTTTTTATATTTAGAAAATTTAATTGAAAGAGCACAAATATTTATTAATACGGATGAAATAGTAGGATAATAAATTCCCGAAAACATGGTAGTAGCATCACAAAAAAGTCTTAAAAATTGTAATAGTTCTTTAGTTTCTTCCCAATCTTCATGACAAATTCTATCTAATGGGTTAGCATTATGAGCATTAAAAACCATTTGTATGGGTCTTCTATATTTATAAGCAACCGAAAGCATTTCGTAAAGAGAATTCCACCTTGTTTTAATATGTTTTGGAATTTTTCTAGGTGACAATTCACATAGTGAACAACGCTCATTAAATTCCCTAATTCTAGCAACATTGTTTGTATGAAAAATCAAGGTAACAGCATATTCAACTTTTACGCTACCACAATCAAATAATGAAATACCATCTTGTACAACTAAATTTAATATATGTGCAACACATCTAACATGAAAAACTTTATTGTCAATTGGACATAATCTAACTTTTAACATGTTAGCAGCATTTGTATTATTAGATGCATTATCTAATGCGACAGACATTATTTTATCTATAATCATGTAATAATCTAAAACACTTAAAATATTTGTAGCTAAATATGCACCAATTTTTTTCTCTATACATAGTTTATAACATATAATTCTTTTTTGCAAATTCCAATTATGATCAATTCAATGTGCAGTTACTGTTAAATAATCATTTCCATTAACACTACGACCCATGTCCGAAGTAATAGACACTCTACTATCTAATATGCTAAATAGACAACGAAGAAATTGACAATGTTTACCTTGATATCAAAAACATCAGTTTTGACAGTATGTCTTGAAAAGCCTCTATAATCCGGATTATAAGTTTGTTGAATATATTCAACAAAACCGGGATTTGAAGGAAATTATAAGGCAAACCACAAACAGAAACTATTTTAGCTAAATTTTCCCGATCTAATTCCTTTTTATATTTACGTTGTGTTATTGGACCAGCGGGGTTAAAAGGATCTAATGTTCCTTGAACCATGTTAGAAGCCGCTATCGATGCATTACCGGTAATATCTAATTCATTAATTGAAATTCCCTTTTTTCTATTGGCTAATGCTTTAGCTTCTTTATATTGAATCGACACACAAGATAACAAATGTCTATTTAATCCCCCCGTTCCACC